ATCATGTTAGGCAGTAACTGTATGACATCCTTTGATCTTCCTGAGACTGGACATTCCAGGAGAGACACCAGAGTTCATTAGGAGTTAGGCTCTAATTGTATAAAGCATCTCAAGTCACCGAGTCAGACTCCAAGGTGGGGGTCCAGTTGATGGTTAGAGAGTGGGGTTTTAGCTTTTTTAGACATTCATTTTGGCCTTTTTGTCTGTACATTTCCCCCATGACAGATCAGCAAGGTCAAATCACTGAAAAGGAGCAAGAATCTACTTTTGTTTGAGCTGCTTTAGAGCTGAGAATGTGTGTAGTGATGGTGGGTTGTCTATCTGTCAGAGACTCAAAGGAATGTAAGGAAGGCATAAAGGAGTGAGCCACTATTGCAGGAGGTTCAAGGCTGGCCTGAGACATCACTTGGAGGTCAAGCAGTCATCAGTGGTGGGAGAAAGATATTAGCTATTGATACCATTGAGTCAACAGTGTCTGGATCTTAATGGCTTGGAATCTGGAAGATACTAATCATACCAGAAGGTCAAGTAAGCAGAGCCCCATGTCACAGAACAAAATGAAAACAAGAAAGGAATTTTGCCCTTGGGAGGTAGAGGCAAGCGGAGCTCTGTGAGTTTGAGGCCAGCCTGGTCTACATAGTGAGTTCCAGGCCAGCTGGGGCTACAGGGAGACCCTGTCTCAAAATAAAATAAAATAAATAAAAATAATTTTTAAAATTTAAAGAATTAGAGTAAGAAGGAAGTTGTGAACTGAGCAAAGAATAAGTCATGTTGCTAAAGGTGATGCCATAGAGGGATTCCAGGAAGACCGGTAAGTGGTACTACCATACTGATGTGAGGATGAGAATCCTGTGCCCAGGACAGGAGTTCAATGTTGTTGGGGTCAGGGATAAAGAGAGGGGTTATAATGCGAGGTAACTGATGGCCTCACACCATGGCTACTCGTGGAGACCTGGCAGTGTTTGAGGATGGGATACACCATAGGAGGAAACAGATTTCAAAGAGACAATAATAGACTGTTTTAGCTTTGGGTGGTAAAACTTTCTTAAGATGAACCCACAGTGACAAACCTTATAACTTGACTGCAGTTGGGGATAGGAAGAGGGTTTGATAGTCTGGTCCAGACAACTGGGAGTGGCCTTTTATCTTGTTGGCAGGATTTTAAAATAGACTTACTCTCCCAGATTAATATGAACTGATGGTCCCCAAAAGGTGGAGTTTGGCTTGGGGCTGCCCTTATCTTGGTACTCAGTGACAGCCTTGATCATCTGTCCCAGTGATGTAGCATACTGAGATAGGTAAAGAGTCTGCATCTAGTAAGATGTCTGTCTGGAGGAATAGCCCACTGTGAGTCTTCAGAGGGAATGAAGTAGATTGTAGACTTAGGAGTAATGTGGGATCATAAAAGAGTCTTAATTAAAATTTGGAGGGCTTTAAGGGAATCAGTTGTGGGGCTGGTGAGATGGCTTAGCAGTTAAAGGCACCTGCCACCAACCTGAGATCTGAATTCAGTTCTCAGGATCCATATGGTGGAGGCAGAGAACCAGCTCACACAGCTTTGTCTTCTAATCTCCACAAACACTGTGGCACAAGCACCACTGCCCCATCACATACACACAAAATAAATAAAATTTAAAAAATTAAGTCAGTCGTGTTGGCACAAGCCATCATCATTTCCAGCACTCGGGACACAGAGACAGGTGGATCTCTGTGAGTTCAAAGCCAGCCCGGTCTACACAGTGAGTCTAGGCCAGCTAGGTCTACACAGTGAGACCTTGTTTCAAAACAAAAACAAAAAATTGGCTTTTAAATTTCAAGGTGAGCTGGGCTATGTAGTGAATTCCTGCCCCCCCTCCCCAGAAAAAAGGAAAGAAATAATCAAAAAGTTTCATCAGTTCACCAATTCAACCAGGTCAGGGTGAGAATCCTGGTCGCAACTGGTAGA